AAGTCACCCGCGGGCCAGAAAAGGTCTGCAGGCCGCCAGTTGAATAGTCCCGAGTTACAGGATGTATAAAAGCTTTAGCATTTTCATCCCATGATCTAGAGTTGCATTCGGGCCCAAAAAAATTCAACCTGATCCGGCCCCAGTCTGTAGCCATAATCTCCAAACCCTACCTGACCCGACGAATTAACAGTAAATACAGGTCCAACCCCCCCGACATTTTAAATTAAGCTTCGACTACTTGTATAGTTATTTATGGTTGGCGGATGCGCGCAGCTGAATAAAGGGGGCAGAAGATCGGATCTGAGGTGGTGTTTGTCCTTTCATGGCCGTCAAAGCGCATTAATCCCTGCTTCTGCCTGCATTCTGCATTATTCAGACATGGACCCTGCTCTGACATGTCGGATATTTTGTGATCTCACCTGTTTAGGTCGTCGGCCATGCGCGTCCGCTGAATGCAGCGGCTGAATGAATGTCCATTTGGTTTTTGATGGATCGCTTCCTGGCAGTACAGTCCCATCTGAAGCTTAACTGAACTTTTTTTTAACCTCTTTCAAGACCGGTCAGCATGTGGTCAAATGGCCGCGTGCGGCTGGTGATTGTATGGCAAGCCATGTTGCCATATAATTGGATCGTCAGCCGCGCGTGTCCGCTGACGCAATCAAAAGCCCGACACCAACCCTCCTCACCCATCCAGCACATTATTGTGGACCGGCCCGAATTCGGGTCAGGCCAGGCTTCGGGCCCGGGTTAGAAATGACAGCTCTAACATGATCCTTCCTTAAGAGGACTAAACAAGTCAAAGTTATGATGAGTTAACTGCCAAGTTAGCAAAAGTTAGGACACTTTTTATGTTTTGCATCATGCCTCCGTTTTTACTTTCTATAAAACGATGTTAAAGAAAAACAAGTAAATCCTGTTGAACAGCACGATTCACTGTTGAACTCTAAGACCAGAGATCAGTTCGTCTTCAAATGGCAGTAACTTCTACCAGAGGCAGTAAAACACCAGGGATCGTTTTCAACAAGGCGTTTACGCTCCAACATTAAATTCACCATTAAAGAGGTTGACGTTCAGCCCCTCAACGTCTCATCCCGATCAACTTAAAGGTCCATAAATGTTGGGAAATGCTACGAGACGGTAAATGGAGATTTGCCTTAAGTTCCCAATGTGCTGTGGTTTAATTGATCCTGGTCTTGGGTTTTCGGGTGGTGACAAACAGGAGCAGGTGACAGTCTGATGAGGGACAACATGAGACGTTCCACAGAGGTGACAATCCTGGAGAGGTAGAGTTTACCACCAAGACTAACGCTCAAGATGTTTCCATCACTTCATTTCCTGCAGACTACCACAGCACCTGCCTAACTTTACCCAGAGCTTTCACCTTCTTTGAGACATTTTTATTTTTACCTCACATGGAGGCAGGCTGCCACAAACAGAGATGTGAGTTATAAATCATACCATACCCACAGGAGTCAAACGCAGCAGGAATTCTTGACATCTTCCTTTTAAGGCCACTGAGCAAAGCAGTGATGCCGCCAAGCTGGGCTCATCTTTGAATGAGATGATGATTCTGGAAATAGTGACACTCCGTGTTACTGGAGAAGGAAAGCAGAACATCAGCTGCTGGGTTTTTGGCTTTAAGAGTGACTCAAGAATTTGCATCCAGCGCTGATGCTCCTGCACTCGGACCCAAACAGTGTGCAGTGTGTGGGTCACTTTAGTCAAAACAAACTTGAAACGGAGTCCAGATGACAGACTGAAGGACCACTACACCCACAGCTCCACCTCAGATTCTGTTTACACAGCGGAGGCTGAACGTTCAAGAGAAAACTCTCTGCTTTGCATGTACTTGCTTATGATTCTTTCTCCTGACTTCAAAGGCAGGGAGTGCTGCAGGTCAAAGGTTAAAGCCTCGACTGGTGTCCAAATGCCCTCCAGTTTCCTGTTGTGTCTGACTTTGCAAGTCCAAAGAGATCTGAAAAGTGAAGATGGAGCTTTGCTGGAACTAAAAGAGGCTCCGTTTCAACCGTTTGCTTCCAGTGAGATCACGTGACAGCAGCTAATATGTTAGCATTTATTTTACTCTGCTTAGCCTGTGGGAAAAAAGCTCATCTTCATCAGGTTTAACCAGTAGAGGTGCATATAGTCTTACCTAGTATAGATATAACCCTAAACAGATAAATAAAAACCATTTCAAAATAAAGTTGCACACTTAGCATGGAAAATGGAACGTAGCTCCAACCAGTTATAAACGAGGACCACTGGCTTCATTTCTCTTCATCCTACAAGAGATTCTTACAAGAACGTTACTTTAAGCTAAGCTTCTCAACTCTATTGAAACGAACGATCACAGCCCTGAGTAACTCCTGCGCATCCTTTAAGAGAAAACACAACAAACATTTGTAAACTTTGAGCAGAAACGAGTGAAGTTTCACATTTTCATCATGATTCGTGAAAGTTCCTAAGAGGTTCATTACCGTTTGGTGGATATTTTATAAAATGTACGCAGAGGCAGACAAATGTGTGAAACGTGAAACTTTTAACAATCTCATAAATCAAAGCACGATTTAAAGATATTAACTGTGTTTGTATCAAAGCTGCGGTCACCTCCCATCGTTCTGTATTTAACTAAAAAAATCATCTAAAAGCAGAACCATCAGAAAGTAGCAATGAACTAAAATCAGCTTTTTGTTCAGAGAATCTCATTTTACAGACTTATCTAGCTGTAAAACATTTTTAAATCAATATTTGAGCTGTGGCCCAATTATTTTCCATAGTTATCTAATGTTTTATGTAAAAGTAAAAAGAAAAATCTAATGACTGAAAAATAAAAACTGTCTGGAAAAACAAACAAACCAAAAAAAAAAAAAAAAAAATACATCAAAACTGTAAAATACAGACTGAAGAGCTTAGCTGTGTACGCTTGTTTCAGCTGATAGGTGCCCTCATACTCTGTATGTACTGTCAACTGTACTGACAAAGTACACAAGCAAGTACTTAGTATACTTGGTATTATGAAACACTAGCTGTTTCTATGAACACTGAAGCCCATAGAGAAGCTTAGATCAACTAATCAGAGTTAACATTTGATTTTATTACCTGCTTAGTTACCTTATCATTAGCGATTTAATAAAGTGATCAGCTGATCGTTACATTTTTGCTTATTGTGTGAATGTTCATGAAGCATTCACACTATTGTGATCCATTGTTCTTCCATACGTTTCTCAGCATCTTTCTCGTCCCGCAGTTTTTGTGCCATTTCAACAAATATATCAAAACGTTCAGCTCATTCAGAAGGATGCTATGACTTTTGGCATTGGTGCAACTTTAGCTTTTTGAAACATTTAGCCTTTTCTGCCATTTTTATGCTCTCATATAAAATGAATTGAGCTCATTTTACATCCTTCACATTTTGTTCTGCTTCAGCTTCTTTGTGCAAATGTATTTATGTTCAGCTACTTTCAGCTGTTTAGTCCTTTCGTATTTGTTCTGCTAGCTAAAACATTTTTGTGCTTCTAACTTCTTTCTGCTAATTTAATCGTATGCTCCTTTCAGCACACTTCAGCTATTTAGCTGTTTTATGCTAATTTCAGCCTTTTTTCCAGATAATTCCCATTTTCTTGTGCTCATTTCTACTTCTTTTAACCTAATTGGGCAAACAAGTGCTTTCTGCAAACATAAGCTTGTTCTACCTTTTCAGCTAATTTCAGATAAACACCAGTTGTTCATGGTAATCTCTGCTACTTTCAGCCTAATTAATTTATTTATGGTAATTTTAGCTTGTGGTGCTCCTTTCAGCTTTTTTCTGCCGTTTCAAATAACATTTAGCTGTTTTATGTTAATTTTAGCCTTTTCAGCTAATTCCACATTATTTAGCTAATTTCAGCGCTTTCCTTCTGGCAGTATAAGCTTCTTTTGGCATTTTCATCATATTTTTTAGCAAATTTTTTTTTTTGTTTGTTTTTGCCAATTTCAGCCCTTTTAGCTATTTTCCTAGGTTTTGTGCTCATTTCTGCTTTTTTAAACATTATTCAGCAAATGTTTTTTCTGCTTTCTTCTGCTTACCAGTATTTAGGATTTCCTGATGCATGCTCAATAATCCAGGTAGAAAAATCTGTTAAAATAAAAAGTTAAATCTGGTCCTCTGGACATTCAAAACACAAAACAAAAAAGGTATTTAGGATTGTTCTTCAATTTCAGCTATAATTCAGCATCTTTTAGCTAAATTCAGCTGTTTTTCTGCAGTTTCTTCAACAATAAGCATTCACATTGCATTTTCACGGCAGCACGGTGTCGCAACTGGTAGAGCTGCTGCCTCTCAGCGAGCAGGTCCCTGGTTCAAACCCCGGTCCAGGGGCCTTTCTGGGTGGAGTTTGCATGTTCTCTCCGTGCATGCGTGGGTTTTCTCCGGGTACTCCGGTTTCCTCCCACAGACCAAAAACATGCGTGTTGGGCTGATTGGTAACTCTAAATTGTCCCTAGGTGTGAGTGAGAGAATGAATGGTTGTTTGTCTCGTTTGTCTCTATGTGGCCCTGTGATGGACTTGCGACCTGTCCAGGGTGTACCCCGCCCCTCGCACAGTGATTGCTGGACATGGGCACCAGCGACCCCCGTGACCCAAAATGGAATAAGCGGGTAAAGAAAATGGATGGATGGATTGCATTTTCACAGGAAAGGCAATTTCTCTAGTTCGAAATTATTCTTGTGACCCGTGTAACTTTTAATTTTGCAGACTAATGCCCAGTCTGATACACATAACTACTTGACTGCTTATCTGATCTGAAAACAATCAGTTTCAGGCTCAAATAAAATCTTTAAGAGCTAAATGATATTCAGTCATGAAATACAGCCTTTAAAGAAAGATTTTTATTGCAAAATCGCTTCCATTCTTCTTATTAAAACTTAATCCAGTTGACTGACACAGAAACAGAGTTTTATGATTTTTCCTTTAAAAGAAGAAGAAAAAATAATAAAGGTACCAAACAGGTAATGAGGTTTTGTGTTTGGATGTTGGTGGGTAACTTGAAGGAAACGTGCTGTGGGCCAAAGGCAAAACACTTCAATATCTTAATGATGTTCAGACGGGGGCAATAAACTGGGAACAATTCATTTCACCATTTAGGAAAAATCTGATTTGAGAGGAAAACAGAGAAGAAACTTCCAGAGAATCATTCAGAGTTTAAATGAACAAAATGACTTCCGGAATAAGCTCAGAGTTCTTTGCCATCTATTAGATTTTGTGTACAAAAATACTGCTCCGTCTGCTCGGCGCCATCAGAACCTCTTCATCTGTCTGCGCTCTTGTCTTCTCTGCTTTTTCTCATTCACCTCCTCTGGTGCAGATGGGTTTTCTGCCATGAACCAGGGGCCCAGAAAGTTCACCCAAAGCAGGTGGAGGGCACGGGCTGGAGCCTGACACACACACACACACATGAAGATTAAATCAGACGTCAAATAACTGGTCATGCAAACTGGACAGCGGGTTTGAAACTCTTACCAGCAACCAGAGATACCAGAAATATGAGGAGATTGTGCTCAGCACTTGAACTATGGCAGTCAGCAGGATTACATCCTTCAAGTGCCTACAAACACAACGCAAAGACACTTTGTTGACTGGAGAACTCCAGGTACACAGAACTTGTTCTATAGAGAGTAAAGGGCACGTGTTTAGTTTCAGAAATATAGAGCTAGACAGATAGATGCACACTTTATTGTCCCCAAGGGGAAATTTGTCTTGGACATCATGCGCTAAGCAAAGCTTCTTCCACAATTAAATACACTACAAACAAATCATGTGAACACAATAAAATAAATAAAATAAACACCTATTGATCAATAAAAACACATACTGCACATTCATTACAAAATGTTACATTTGTTTAAAATTAGCAGAGATTTTGTGCCAACAACTCTAACCATTTTATTTTTCACCATCTTCACACACTTCCTGTTCTTTTCCACTGTTGGACCATTAAAGGCAACCGACACAAATTTACAATAAACCTGAATCTTTTCGACCAAATATTTAAAACACCTTATTTACACAATCATTTTATTCAAACTTGTTGCATATAAAAGTCAAGCATATGTTAAATAAGATAAAAGTCGGGTCAACTCTTTTTTCAGATTAAGTTCACTACATTCATTTGTAGTAGAAACGTACGGACGGGGCCACCAGTTGTAGTAGTCACGT